TGTCGTTACCGATGTACGAATTCGGAGCAGTCTGCCCTGAGAGTCCGTCTTGAAAGCTTAAAAGGAGATTAGAGTGACGGAAATCGCGTATAGTTAAGAAGCGAACGCGTTATTGGACGACTGTTTCTGTTCAGTTTTGTAAAATAAATCATTTCAAAATTCATCTTACGAAACCGTTCACTCTCTCCTCGCAGAATCCTACTGCAGATTTACGTTTTTGGCGCAAAATAAATATTTTCCTTCTGTGCACGAAAATAATTTCGAAGGTTCACGCACAGAAAGATATTAATATTTTGCTAACCAACGGTTATCCTCTTGACTTAATTTTCATAAAAATAAAACGCAGATTAAAACATCTTTCAACGAAGAAATTTAACAAATCTAACAACAACAATATAATAGATACTAATAACATAAATACAAACATTAAATATTTTGTCATACCATATATAGAATCAATTTCCGATAAAGTCGCTTCAGCAATAAGAAAATCTGACGTAGTGGTAGGATATCGTTGCATTAAAAAATTGAATGACTTCATAAGGGTTCAAAAGGACAGAAATGATTGTCCCACGAATTCTAATGTTATTTATAGATTGAATTACAATGATTGTGACGCCACATATGTCGGACAGACAAAAAGATAGTTAGGAACGAGACTTAAAGAACATAAAAATAATATTAAATTAGACTCGGTTGTCATGGAACACATTCTAAATGAACAGCATACATTTGACTGGGATAACACTAAGATTATGGATTATAAAAAGAATTACCACAAAAGGCTAATATCTGAAATAATCTACATTAAAAAACAGAAAAATGGAATTAATTTAAACAGAAACACCGAATTGCTAGACAGTAGTTATTTTGACATACTTAAAAAATTAGTTGAATAATAGTTTAAAATAAACATTGGTAATAAATAGATACATCACGCTCTCTAACTTGACAGTTGTTATTTAGACTTTGCAACACACATTTGAAATGTCGAGAAGAAGAACTTGTTAAAACAATAATGTAAGTTGAAAGATTTTTTAATTTTCTTTGATATTAATTTAATTCGCATAATATATCCACAGCATGATTAAATGTCGCAAAACTTGGAATCCCAGACCAATCGTCTTACTCATTAATTGGTCATCAGCAAAGAATCGTTTAACTTTGTATTTTAATGTTTAACCAACTTTGTATTTTAATATTTAACTTTGTATTTTAAGATGTAAAAATCTCTGAAGTCACCAGATAATAATTAAAAAATGATAGTAATTTTATCAACCAACTCTAGCTATTTAATGATCTTTATTTAATATTCACGACATTTCGGCCATGGGTTTCGGCCCTTATCAAGTGCTAAAACAAAACTTTCTATATAGAATATAGAATTGATAGATATTTGAGAATCGCCAGACAGAATTTAAAAAAAGTAAGACTATTCTCTCGACCGTACTGGCAAATATTATTTATTAAAAAGTGATAAATGCAAGTTCAACTTATCGAGCAATTATTCGAGTTGTTCAATCAAATAACATTTATTTCATGTATAAATTATTAAGCTACAATCATTGAATATTAAAACTAACGCAACAATACAGTCATTCTAAAATAAACGTTTCAACCGCACGCGGTCTTCTTCAGTATATTATTAAAATATAAAATCATAAAAAATTCATATAATGTTAAAAATTAATTTTAGTTCTTCAGAGTCGAGAGTTTATAAGCAATTAACGCGTGTTTTAATCCATCATGTGTAGGAAAAATGTCGAACCAATGTTCGTCTCGATATGATCTTTAATTTTAATCAGATCTCGAAAAGTTTCGTCGTTAATAAGCGAGAAATTAAAACATTCCGTAGGCGCTGCGATTAATAAAAATTAACGATTAACGTATGTCGAAATCACAACATATATATATCCCCAACAATTAGCAATATTTTTACTTGACATCGTCTTTCTTGACAATTTTAACCACGTTTTTCTTAAAAAAGTTATTGAAGATGACACAAGACGAAACCAACAATATAAAAAAACAGCTCATTTTAAACTCTACTTGATCGGAGAGTGTGCGTGTTTATATATGATCTAATACCTATGTTTAAACCGTTAATGTCCTGTTTGTCTTATTTATTGTTCGCTAATTTATCCAAAATATCAAAATACGACTCGCTGAGTAACTCAGTATCTTTGTTTAAATTTAGCCCATTTTTGTTCTTTAATATGTAGCATCTCGGAAATGAGTCTTTTATAATAATTATTTTTGTTGTCCAGAATCTTTACGTTATCCCAATCAAATGTATGGTGTTCATTTCTTACGTGTTCAGAAATTACCGAATATTTCGTTGAGTCCAACCTGATATTATTTTTATGTTCTTTTAGTCTCGTCTGTAATTGCCTCTTCGTTTGGCCTACGAAAGATGCATTACATTTATTGCAACTGATCTTATAAACCACATTCGAATTGCATGGATATTTAGTTTTATCTTTCTGTGCTTTAATAATATTATCAAGTTTGTTGAGACATCTATATCCTACAATACACTCTGTATTTTTTACCGAGGAAACAATCATTTTCGAGATCCTATTTATATACGGAATGATAAAGAATTTTTTATTAACTGAGTCCTTTTCTATAATTTCTGTTCTTTCTATGTTAGCTTGTCTCTTTATAATGCTTTTTTAGATATGATGTTATATGATCAGCGTGAAATCAAGAAAAGAGCGCTAAATAGTGTCTCTCTCTTTCCCGCTCTAGCTGCAAGCCGACGCGCGCTAGCGGGAAAGAGAGAGACGACTGTCACTAAGCCGCAGCGCAACGGCCAGCGAATGCGTCCGTTCGGGCCATTGTATACCGTCAGCTGTGATAAATATTTATTTAAAACACCTTTTTGTTCCTTCTAGAAAGACTCGAATAACAGAATTTGTTGTCGGATTGTTTTTCCCGCCAGATCTTTCTAGAAGGATCAGTGTCTTTATAAGGCGCAAAAGTCGAGCGCGATTCGCAGTCGCCTTTCGATAATCGACGAGATAAACGAGAATTTGTACACCCGAAAATTATTACTGACACGGCTACCCTTTTGGACATTGATTCAAATTCTGACACGATTTTCGCCGGCTAGAGGCGTCGGGGCAAAATAGTTATTAAATCCGGAATCAGAATAATTGTTATTATCGCTTGCGTTATTTGAGTTCTTTCAATAAAAGTGCAAGTTCTCTTGAAACCGACTCAATTTATTTGTTGAGCAGTCGCCCGATCTATCTTCAGCAAAACTTCTCTCTCCTCACTGCGCTTCACTCGCGTTACAAGTCCGCTCGCGAACATTTCGCTGGTTCTTCGAGCCGGATTCCGCGTCGCCGGCGCTGGTTTTTTTCAAGTGCAGTGACGTGACAGTGAGGTTTGACGAGGACTTTTCGGTCAGCAGACACTTGCAACAAAGACAATGGCTGAACCCATGGAAGATCTGGTGCTCGCGCAGCATGACTTATACCAACTTCTCGCCCGGTCGTACGAAAATATGAAAAAGTCAGGCGCAGCAAAAATGACGGTCGGAAGCTTTCCTGCTTGTCTTCAGACGCTCGAGGGTTACTGGGTCAGGTTCCTGAACCGCCACGAACAAATTGTGATAGATTATGGAGAGGAAATTCAGGCCCACGACTATATAACAGACGACTTGATGCTGAAGGCGGACCTCGCGTACCACGAGCAGAAGAGTCAATACATTAATGATCTTCACGCGCTACGAGGTCCATACCCAGACGCGCTTGCTACCGTCGGCGCGCTGGCGGCTCCAGCCGCGACGAAGCTACCTCGCATCTCTATACCGCAATTCTCCGGACGGTATGAAAATTGGCCAGCTTTTCACGATCTCTTCACTTCGCTCGTGATTAGTAATCGGGCCGCGTCGCCGGTGGAGAAATTCCACTACCTGAAGACCAACCTCAAGGAAGAGGCTGAGCAAATGACTCGCCAATTGCCAACAACCGACTCCAATTTCAATCGCACCTGGGCGGCCTTGACGGAGCATTACGAGAACCGGAGGCTTCTGGTAAGGTCATACATTGCAAGGCTCGTATCATTGCCAAAAATGAAGGGTGAGTCCGCTGCGGAGCTACGAAAAATCTATCACTGCGTTCAGACCACCGTCGGGTCTTTAGAGGGGATCGGTCGCCCCTTGACGCGTAGTGACGATCTGTGTGTTCAAATCATTACGGAACTTTTTGATCCGGTGTCGCGACGAGAATGGGAGACGCAGCTTAGTCGGACGACGGAGCCGCCGTCGCTCGAAGAGCTGCTCGTTTTCGTAAAGGAGAGGATGCGCACCCTTGAGTCGCTGGCGCCCCTGAAGAGTGAAGCTAGCCCGGCGAGAGCTAGCTCAAGTTCAAACCGGTCAAAAACGCGTTGCAGGTGCGCAAGCAGGAAAGCCTGCGAGGCCGCTGCTTTCTGTGCAATCAAGAGCACTACTTGCGCCAGTGCGATGCGTACCTTGCCAAGAGGGCAGCCGAGCGGAAGCAGTACGCGACGTCGCTTGATTTGTGCGTGAACTGCCTCGGAAAGCATAAGCTGATTGCGTGTCCGTCTCAGAAGACATGCCTATCGTGCAACGAGCGTCACCACTCGACCTTGCACGATGCCTACGTCGCAGTCGCGGCTGTCAAGGTCAATTTTTCCAAGTCGCAGACGACGGTTCCGACGGCCGTGCTGCTGGCTACCGCTCGCGTTCACGTAACGAATCGCCACGGCGTCGATCACATCGTGCGGGCGTTGATCGGCCAGGGAGCGGAGACGTCGGCGGTGTCGGAGGCCCTCGCTCAACGGCTACGACTGCCTCGCGTATCATTGCCCATAACAATATACGGAGTCGGTGGGATCAAGGCTGGAGTAACGCGAGGCCGTATAAACCTTAGAATTTCACCTAGAGAGGGTGGCTCGCCGCTGACTGTTTCGGCGTTGGTCTTCCCCCGGCTGGCGCTGTACGACCGCAGCATCTAGGCGGATGCGAGCGCATGGGCTCACCTCGCGGGCCTGATTCTGGCCGACCCGGACTTCTTAGCAGCAAACCCGGTGGACATTCTCCTCGGAGCCGATGTCTACATCACCATCCTCAAACCGGGATTGAGGAAGGCCGTGGTCAACCTGGCGCCCAAGAGACAACTTTAGGGTGGATACTCTCCGGGCAAGTCGGCTCGGCCGAGCCTCCCGCCCGCGCGTTAACATTACAATGCAAAAAGGATGATGACCTTACCTGCCTGGTGAAGAACTTCTGGCAGCAGGAGAAACTGCCCGCCGGCCCAGCGCCTCTCACTCCCGCCGAACAGGAGTGTGAGGATCTGTACCGGACAACACACAGCCGACAAGCTGACGGCCGCTACGTCGTGCGGCTACCAGTGGTTGCTTCACTGCCCGACTTTGCTACTACGAAGCGCGCCGCCTTACGCTGTCTTGTCGGCATAGAAGGACGGTTTGCGCGTGACAATCGACTGCACCGACTCTACGTCGATTTTCTGAGAGAGTATGAAGCCTTGAACCATATGACCCGTGCTGACACCGCGAAGGGGAAACGCGTCAGCTACCTGCCTCACCACGGAGTCCTGCGCGAGGCGAGTTCGACGACTAAGCTGCGCGTAGTATTCAATGGCTCCACGACGACTATCTCCGATGACTCTCTTAACCGGAGCCTTCTGGTGAGACAGGACCTGCTGCCTCCCCTCGCCGAGTTGCTCCTTTGATGGCGATTTCACCGCTACGTCCTGGCCACGGACGTGGAAAAAATGTATCGTCAGATTCTGATCCACCTTGAGGACCGGAATCTTCAGCAAATCTTGTGGCGGTACAGTTGCCAGGACGAAGTAAGCGACTATCGGCTGAACACCGTCACTTACGGTCTAGCGTGTGCGCCGTTCCTGGCCATGCGCACTTTTTGCCAGCTTGCCGACGACAAAGCGGAGAGCTTTCCTCTGGGCTCTCGAGTTCTACGCGGGAAAGTGTACATGGACGATATATTGACTGGTGCCTCGACCTTGGAGGAAGCTTGCGAGCTACAACGGCAGCTGACCGGACTGTGCATGGCGGGCGGCTTCCCCCTGCGCAAGTGGTCGGCGAACGATCCCGGGATCTTGAAGAGCGTTCCGGCTGAGCATCTCATGCAGCGGGCTCTGCGTGATTGGCGGTCTCACGAGACGCATGGCACCATGGGACTGCGGTGGCATCCCGCCACAGACGAATTTTCTTTTTTTGTTCCAGCTACCACCCTGAAAGACGTCATAAAGAGATCGGTGCTCTTTTTCACCGCGCGCCTCTTTGACCCCCTCGGCTGGTTGGCGTCTGTGATAGTGAGGGCCAAGATCTTCTTCCAGTCAACCTGGCTGCGAGGTCTGGGATGGGACGAACAGCTGGAAGAGGCGGCCGAGCGGCAGTGGCACGTCTACGCGCAGAAGCTTCCGCTGCTCGAGAGCCTTCGAGTGCCGCGGTGGCTGGAGGTCGGCCCGCCTGACGACTACGTCGAGCTTCACGGCTTTGCCGACGCCTCGGAGCGTGCCTACGCCGCGGTGCTCTACATCCGGACCGGAGACAACGGTTTTTGGCATGCGCGACTGGTGGCTGCTAAAACCAAGGTCGCGCCAGTAAAACCAGTGACACTGCCACGGCTCGAGTTGTGTGCCGCGGCGCTCCTGGCCAGGCTCACCCTCCACGCTTGCTCTACGCTTGGCCTCTTTCGAACTATCATCCACCTATGGTCAGACTCCATCACCCTGGGATGGATCCGAGGTCATCCTAACCGGTGGAAGACTTTTGTGGCCAACCGCGTGTCCGAGATCCAGACCATGGTGCCTGACGCTCGATGGCACCATGTTTCTAGCCAGGACAACCCTGCCGACTGCGCCTCCCGCAGGCTGTCGCCTGAAAAGTTGTTGACACATCTTCTCTGGTGGCGAGGTCCTTCGTGGTTTCAGGCAGAGCCATCTTCTTGGCCTGGCGAGGACCCTGCGTCTGTCTACGACGACTGGCCGGAGAAGAGGACAGCGATCAACGCCACCAGGACTGTGCCTGTTCCGGTGGAGGAGCCTGACGAGCTCCGACGATGCTCATCACTCAACCGTTTGTTGCGATTGACTGCCTGGTGCCGATGATGGCTTCCCCGCGTACCGACCTCTGAACCTGAGCTGACGGCGGCCAAGCTGGAGGAGGCCAGGCTGACGTGGATCCTGCAAGTCTAAGCCGGAATTACAAGGCCGAGTTGACCGCCCTTCGGAGTCACCTTCCTCTTCCCTCTTCCAACCCACTGCTACGCTTGAACTCATTTGTAAATTCACAAGAACTGCTGCGAGTGGGCGGCCGTCTCAAGCACGCGCTCCTCGCGATGAGTGACATCCGGTCATTCTGCCAGGAAATTTGCACCTTGCCCGTCTGGTGGTGGAGTCCTGCCACGACGCTCGTTGCACGGCGGCGTTTAGCTGACCCTAGGAATGGTCCGGCAACTCTACTGGATCCCACGAGGCCGAGCAGTCGTGAAGCTGTGGTTGCGCCGTTGCGTTACTTGCGTGCGATGGCGAGCGGCGACTCCGCAACAGCTGATGGGGAGCCTACCAAAAGAGCGGGTGACTCCCGCTTGCCCCTTTTTGAACATTGGCGTTGATTACGCCGGCCCTGTTCAACTTCGAACTAGCCGAGGACGCGGTCAGCGGTCTTACAAGACTTTTATCGCCGTGTTTGTTTGTCTGTCCACGAGAGCCGTCCACCTCGAGGCGGTGTCGGACTACACCGCCGACGCCTTCCTGGCGGCCTTACGACGATTCGTGTCCCGTCGTGGTCTGTGTCGCACAATCCGGAGCGACTGCAGGACGAATTTCGTAGATGCCGATGCCCAACTGCGAGCCTTCTTCGCGGCCAGTAGTGCTGAGCTGCGCCGGGTCATCGGACATTTAGCCAGAGATCGGATCCAGTGGCTGTTCAACCCCTCGTCCGCACCGCATTTTGGCGGTATCTGAGAGGCCGCCGTGAAGTCCCTTAAGCATCACTTGCGGCGGGTGCTAGGGGACGCTACGCTGACCTTCGAGGAGATGGCCACTCTCCTCGCTCAGGTGGAGGCTTGCCTGAACTCCCGACCGCTTCAGGCCTTGTCCGATGACCCTGAGGACCTGTCTGCCTTGACGCCCGGACACTTCTTGGTGGGCACGCCGTTGACCGCTGTGCCCGAACTGCCGCTCCTGGACGTTCCGGACAACCGTCTGACTCGTTGGCAGCTTCTGCAGAAGATGAGGGACCACTTCTGGGATCGATGGTCTCGCGAGTATTTACACTCACTCGTCCATCGCCCAAAGTGGCTCAGGAGCATCGACGACTACAGCCTTGGACGGTTGTGCCTCATCAGGAGCGAAAACACACCGCCAACGCGTTGGCCACTCGCGCGCATTATCCAAGCTTATCTTGGCGAGGATAGACAAACCCCCCCCCCCCGTCGACCACCACCTTGCCGTGGTGGAGGGGCTCACTCTTCGCAAGGGAATAACCTTGCGAGGGGTGCTAAGAGTGATCGGTACCTCCTGTGGAGGTACTTCTGGCTTGGTGGGGCCACAGGGTCTCGACTCACCACCCCTGGATGGTCACCAGGTTAAAAAAAACCAAAAACTAAACATGGTGGGACGCAACAAAACAAAAAAGCGTACCGGCCCAGGGGTTTCGAATGCCCCAGGGCCCGGCGGAGAGGGGGGTATCATCCCGGCCCCCACTCCGTCGTTATCGAACGACGGGTGCGGGCAAGAGGAGAGGAAACCGGTGGTTCCAATGGAGCTGGAACCACGGACTCCGGGAGGGGTAGAGAGGGCGGACCAGACTCCGAACAGCGTAGGGCCAGCGGAAATACTGCCGAACCTGGGCTGGGAGGAGTTTACTCTGTGGTGGGACGAGGCCTATGCCGAAACCCCCGCTGCGGAGATTCTTCGCTGGTCCACGAAGGAACTGGATAGAATAAGAAAGGACGCAAGGGCCTTCCTTGAATGCTACATCCAAAGCGTAAAGAAGGGGAAAACGGCGGGACTGACGATCTACGTGGATGCCTACGTGGAGTCAGTGGTGAGCCGGGCGTGTGGGTTTGGGCAGGCCATCTCAAGCCTTGCACGGATGGCGTACGTCCGGTCCGGAGGGGACGCGGCCCCCGATCGTGGAGGAGAGCTCTGCGACCGGGGGAGTCAGACTGAGGTGAGTGAGGCGCCTGTCGAGAAGACTCCTTTGCCGGGGAAGTTGGTAGCCAGGCTCGAAGACATGTCCTCGAGACTGGCGGCCAACGCGGACCGGCTCGAGTTGATCGAGAGGCGCCTCAAGGAGGGGGTTCCCGGTCGGGCGAGGGTGGCCCGGGGGGCCTTTGAAGGGGGGGAGAGCGGAGACGGTGACAAAGATGGAGATGGAGGAGGGGACGAAGACTGACGTGACCAACGTTACGGACGAGACGGGGACGGGGACGGAGAGCGTGGGGAGAGCGACCACCACCACCACCGCCGGAGCTCGCGAGGAGTAGGCGAAAGTGGTGGGGAAAGGGGTTGGAAGAAGGAAGAGGAGAGAGAGGACGGAGACCGCTGGGGGTGGCAGCGGCGGTGTGCGAACGGTCGACAGGGCGACCGTCGCAAATGTGATGGGGGCGCCGGGGTGCTACCGGTGCCTGTGTGTTGGGCACACATGGCGCCGGTGCACCTCGGCGGTGGACAGGGGTAGCCGCTGCTACCGCTGCGGCTCCCCTGGCCACAAGAAGGTGGGGTGCCTGTCCGGCCTTAGATGACCGCTTTGTGTGGACTTCCGACGGCCGGCCAGGCATCGACTCGGATGTCCGGGGTGCCTGACGGCACCTCCGGCGGAGTCAAAAGAAGGGGGCGTGCCGTCCCGCTCCCCTCCGTCGCTGGCGGTCGTGCCCACAGGTGCAGCCATTGTATACCGCCAGCCGTGATAAATATTTATTTAAAACACCTTTTTGTTCCTTCTAGAAACACCCGAATAACAGAATTTGTTGTCGGATTGTTTTTCCCACCAGATCTTTTTAGAAGAATCAGTGTTCTTATAAGGCGCAAAAGTCGAGCGCGATTCGCAGTCGCCTTTCGATAATCGACGAGATAAACGAGAATTTGTACACGCGAAAATTATTACTGACAGGGCTACCCTTTTGGACATTGATTCGAATTCTGACACGATTTTCGCCGGCTAAAGACGTCGGGGCATAATAGTTATTGAATCAGGAATCGGAATAATTGTTATTATCGCTTGCGTTATTCGAGTTCTTTCAATAAAAGTGCAAGTTCTCTTGAAACTGACTCAATTTATTTGTTGGGCAGTCGCCCGATCTATCTCCAGCAAAACTTCTCTCTCTTCACTGCGCTTCACTCGCGCTACAAGTCCGCTCGCGAACAGATGTGTTCTATCCGACGATTAATTTTGTTAAAGATCAGATCAAGAGAGTATATAACCATTGCTTATGAGTATATTAATGATTAACTCCAAATTTTATTAAAAAATTGTGGGTGTGATAACAACAGACATTTGTCTACAAGGTTATATATTATTCCAATTTTATAGCATAATGGGTGGTTTAAATAAAATGATAAAGTCCTTCCTGAGAAAGTTTCTTTTAGATACCAATCAATGTATATTGTGTTATTAATAATTTTCAGTAATAAATCTAAGAAATTCAAGCTACGATTAACCTCTTGTTCCACCGTGAATTTAAATCTATCATGATAGTTATTAAAATTATTAACTATCTGAGTCATATTAGTCATAGAAGTGGCCAGTATTATGTCATCTACATAACGGAAATAAAACAAACATTTTAAATTTAACGTTTTAAGAATTGTATCCTCAAGATCATGCATAACCAAGTCAGCTATAATTGGTGATAACGGAAACCCCATAGAGGCCCCAAAAGTCTGTTTGTAAATTATGTCATTAAATGTAAAATAAGTAAAAGTCAATATAAATTTTATACCACATAAAAATTTGCTTTTCGGTATTCTAGTATTTATTTCAATGTGATCTTATCTATCGTTAATACCGTTAATCGCAAGATCTAGAGGTACGTTCGTAAATAAAGAAACCACATCAAAAAAAAACATCCTATCGTTCTCATCAATCTTTTTACCAGACAACATGCTGTACAACTCAAAACCATTATTGATATGACTTTTCGCTTTGGGCAGGCTAGTTTGTAAGATGTTTTGTAAAAACGAAGCCAGCGAGTATAAAGCTGTATCAACCGATGAAACTATGATTCTAACTGGATAGTTTTCCTTATGGATTCTAGGTAATCCGTACGCTTTTGGAAGAAGAGAATCACTACAACGTAATTTATAATATTCATTTTTGAGATATAATCTTCTTTAAGCCATTTCTTCAACAAATCATTCAATTCATTCTCTATCTTTTTGCACGGATTTTTTTTAACAATAGTGTATGTGTTGACATCTTTTAATACGTTTTCCATTTTACTAATATAATAAGATCTCTCCATTGCAACCGTAGCGTTACCCTTGTCCGCGCGTGTGAATAAAATATTTGAATTATCTTTGCAAAATTTTATTGAATCTCTGTGTGAACAAAGTAGTTTTTGTTGAATTAATTCATTTTTATCATTAGTGTTGAGAAGTTGTGCAAATTTCGGAACCGCGATATTTCTAATAGTTGTGAGATTATTAATATTATTCCGTTTATGATTACTCTCTATGTCTTTGATAAATTCATGTATTGCTATTTTTTTATTAATGTTTGGGAGGCAGAAATTATCACCTATTTGCAAAAGATTAGAAACGTTAGAAAGAATATCTATATTAGACAGATTGATAAACCATTTTTTATTCGTATTTTCCAAAGGATGAATTATATCATTAAAAAATTTATTGGCTTCTATGTGTATACTAATCTTCTTAGCATCATTAGTGATTGCCCTAGGAGAATTTTTTGATATTTTTCTCGATTGTAAGGTTTTATAGTGTAAAAAACAATGTATATATATGGGTTTGATGCTGTTAAATATTCTATTCACTCGCGCGGACAAAGGTAACGCTACGGTTGCAATGGAGAGATCTTATTATATTAGTAAAATGGAAAACGTATTAAAAGATGTCAACACATACACTATTGTTAAAAAAATCTGTGCAAAAAAAAAGAGAATGAATTGAATAATTTGTTGAAAAAATGGCTTAATGAAGATTATATCTCAACAAAATGAATATTATAAATTATGTTGTAGTGATTCTCTCCTTCCAAAAGCGTACGGCTTACCTAGAATCCATAAGGAAAACTATCCAGTTAGAATCATAGTTTCATCGGTTGATACAGCTTTATACTCGCTGGCTTTGTTTTTACAAAACATCTTACAAACTAGCCTGCCCAAAGCTAAAAGTCATATCAATAATAGTTTTGAGTTGTACAGCATGTTGTCTGGAAAAAAGATTGATGAGAACGATAGGATGTTTTTTTTCGATGTGGTTTCTTTATTTACAAACGTACCTCTAGATCTTGCGATTAACGGTATTAACGATAGATAAGATCTGTTCGAAATCGAACGGATAAAGAAAGCTGAAAGGAAGGGCATTAATATATTACATTCAAATTCATGCAACATAAGCATGCAGCATGCACATAACTAACATTACTTATATAAAACCTTAAATTGTCACAGGCAGATTTTAATATTATTTAAATCGCGCTCGGCCGCACAAGTATACATATACCTCGCGCCTGCGAAAAAGAAGCGCTTGCGTTAACTTTCATTTAAATCGTAAGCACCGCGGTCGCGCGAGAGGAGAAAAACCAAGTGCCAATAACAATAAAATAAGACTTGCTAAAAGTAAATAATTATCGTAAACATCCTTTCGCCCTTAACATCTCGATAGAACAAGGAAAAATGTTCGCAAAGGTTCTCGAAATACAGGCCTATATAAACCTCCTCTCTCGTGACCGCGGGGCTCTTTTCGATTGCTCGTCGCGAATAGAGTGTGCTTCTACT